TCCCTGAGCAGCCTGAAGTCTGCTTTCCCCATATCCAGGGCTGAAGTTTTGGTGGCAGTTTTCCTTCTGTCACCATAAATTCTAAACTTAACCACTTCATGGTCATTATGACCGAGATGGCCGCCAGTTGCCACGTCTCCCACAAGACCCTCTCTGTTCTCCAGCAACAGGTCTAGGAGGGCACCTTTCCTAGTTGGCTCCCTTAGCATCTGCACCAAGAAGTTATCATCTAGGTGCTTTAGAAACCTCCTGGACTTGTTCATGTCAGCCGCGTGGTGATCCCAGTTGATGTCTGGAAAGTTGAAGTCCCCCATAAGGACAACAGGAGTTGATCTCGAGGCATCTCTTGGTTCCGCAAAGAATAATTCATCGGCATTGTCGTCCTGGCCAGGTGGTCTGTTTTGGGGATTCCCACACCAACATCCCCTTTATTTGTTCGTTCCTTAATTCTTACCCAGAGGCTCTCAACTTTGCCATCACCAACTTCCACACAGTCTAGCCCCTGCTTCACATACATCACCACCCCACCACCTTGCCTACCCTGCCTGTCCCTCCTGAGGTGCCTGTAACCATCTATTGCGACACACCAGCCACAGGACTCATCCCACCAGGTTTCACTTATGCCGATGATGTCATAGCTGTGGGACTGGGCCAAGACTTCTAGCTCATCCATTTTATTCCTCCTACTGTGTGCATTTTTGTAGAAGCACTTCACATGCACCTCCCTACACGCAGCACCTTGTGGAGCTGACCGAAGGACCTCACCGGCACACGGTCACTCTGATTCTAGTGCACCCTCCCTTAGCTTATCACTGGTGTGCCTGGTTTTATCCCTTTCCCCCTTCGACTCTAGTTTAAAGCCCTATCTATCAGCCCTGCCAATTCTTGAGCAAAAATCCTTACCCCTCTCTGAGAGAGACGCATCCCATCTGATGCTACCAGGCCCGGTGTCGCGTAGACCTTCCCGTGATCGAAGAACCCAAAGTTGTGCCGGTTGCACCAGTCCTAAAGCCACGTGTTAATGTGATGAGCCTGCTTGTCAGCATCAATCCCCCCTATCAGAAGGACAGAGGCAAACACAACCTGTGCCCCTGAACCTTTAAGTAGTCGCCCCAAAGCCATGAAGTCCCTTTTGATCACTCTCGGACTTCTCCTTGCTACCTCGTCATTACCAGCCTGAAAGACCAGTAGCGGGTAGTAGTCGGTGGGCTGTACCAGGTGCTTGACTTTTTTAGCAAAGTCTCTCACCCGAGTCCCGGGGAGGCAACAGACTTCCCTGTGGGTTGGGTCCGTTTGGCATATTGGGCCCTCTGTCCCTTTCAGAAGGGAGTCCCCCATGACAATAACCCTTCTATTTTTTTTGACAGATGATGTAGCAATGCGGGGGGTAGGCTGCCTTGCCTTAGGCACCCTCTTCAGCTGTGACGGGCTTTCGTCTACTTCATCATTCTGACTGTTGTATTCTAGACCCTCATACCTGTTATATAAGGGTAGATGGGAAGGTGAGGTGGGCAGGGACAGGGCTCGCCTACCACCCTGAACAGGAACCTGCCTCCATTCCCCGCCTTGGCCTAGGTCTCCTCCTGCTGCCTGGAGGGATGAGGGAACTTTTGCCTTCTGCGTGGCAGGAGACACTTGTGCTGTGGCAGGCTCATGAGTCTGTCTCAGAGAGGGCAGAGTACACCTCCACCAGTCAATTTCCCTCTCTGACTCCCTGATGCTCCTGAGCCTGCTCACCTCCTCCCAAAGCTCCGCTACCTGGCTGAGCAGCTCTTCAACCTGGGAACACCTCCTACAGGCATACCCCTCGCTGCTGCTGTCAGATACCGACAGGAGACTCGGGCACATCCTGCAGCCCAAGACCTGAACGGCAGTGTGTTTCCCTGAGCCCTCCGTCTGAGTAGCCACATCAGTGACTGTGGCTGGAGAGGCCGCAAGAGATGTGGAAGCCATGTTTTTCTGCCTGGTTGATACCATGGCCAGGCTCTTCGCAAGAAGGTTACAAGTACGGATGGGAAAGACCACAGTGGAGGAGCGGCGAGGGGCTCTCCGTGCTCGCCCTCCCTGCGTGAACTGCCCCGCCCTGCCCTTCTGATGCACTACACCCTGTTTGCCCGTCCTGGTACGCCTCGTCAGCCTCCCTCGCGAGGGCTTCCTCGAACAGCCTCGATGCCAAAAAAAAGCCCTGCCTGTCTCGATCCCCTGCTCTGCTACAGAATGCATGTGCCCCGGAGCCCATCGTCTTGGCAAGCGATCGGCTTGCCCAAATTGGCCCGAACTGTCCTCAGCCTCTCCTCATAGGACATGCCTTTCAGCTCTTTTACCAGCTTGGTTGCCCTCCTCTGGACATTTTCAATTGTCTTAGCATCCTATATTGTGGAGCCCAGAACTACACTCGATATTCAAGGTGAGGCTGCACCAATGCTAAATATAATGGGAGAATCACCTCTTTTGACTGTCTGGCTATGTTGTGTTTAATGTACCCTTAATGCTTTCTCTGCATTAATGAGGTAAAAAAAACAATACTTGAAAGTTAGGAATTACAGTATTTGAGGCAATACCCAGTAATCATATAGGTAGGTAACCATGAAGATTGCATGATAATGCACAAGGGAAACAAATTAAGATTAATTAAGATTGCTTACAGATGCAACTTTGACTCCCCCCTTTTTTTTCTAAAAATTGAGTACTGGGTTTTGCAACCTTAAGGCTCTTTAAATCTAGGTAATCATAGCTAATATTACTGTAAAACTGTTGGTTTAACCTTGGGAGGTGGCTAAGCCCTGCACAGCCTCTACCTCGTTCCCCCACGGTAGGATGGGGGGGAAATCGAAAAGTGAGAAAAAACATAGGATGAGAAATGCAGTTCAATAGGCTCAGGACAGAAGAGATGGTATGTTGCATGGAGTTATTGGGCACCAAAGCCAGCTCAGGTTGGGTCACTGCTGTACTTGCACTGCTTCTTGTGAAGCTCATCCTCTGTTGCTTTGAGCAGTTCCTGCTTTAGGATTTCCTATAACATACAACTCAAATCATGGGTTAAAACAATTTAAAGGTCTATCCATCACAATATCCACTCCTGATCCCTTCAGACCAGGCCATAGGGTTTAACGTTGCAATGAACTCCTCCCCTCACCCCTGGCCTGGCTAGCAGCAAGGGGTTCCTGCTATAGTACTTCCTATAACATGCAATTCAAATCGTGGTTTACAAAAGTTTAAAGGCATATCCATTATAGTCTCTACCCCTTGTGCTTTTGGACCAGGGCATAGGGTTTAACATTGTAATGAACTCCCCTTACCCCTGCTCCAGACTGAGCTTGTCTATGGGACACAGTGCATTAGAGGTGTACCTGCTCCAGGATGGCCTTATCCATGAGTCACAGTCCCTTCAGAGGTCTACCTGCTGCAGTGTGGACTTATCCAGAGACACAGTCACTTTAAGGTATACCTCTTCTGGCATGGCCTTTTCCATATGCCACAGTCCTTTTAGGGGTGCAGCTGCTGTGTCGTGGACTTATCCATGGTAACACTTTGAGGTGTTCTGGCATGACTTTATCCAAATGATGCAAGTTGTACTTGCTGTGGCATAGACTCTCCATGGCCACAGATGCTTTGAGGTGTACCCACTTCAGCATGGACTTATCAACAGCCACTGATGCTTCGGAGTGTACATGCTCCCATGTGGACTCATTCAGAGGTCACAGTCCCGCTGACTTGAGTTCAGTCTGGACTTCCAACCTGTCCAGTACAGCAGCACAGGAATAGCAGCAATACCCTGGCCATCTGCAAGCCCAGGCTCATAGCCATGACTGTTATCAAAATGTTCCCAGGAACAGCAGAGTGAGACAATATGGAGTACAGCAAATGGCAGAAGCAAAAGCAGCCACTAATCAGCCCTGGACTCTAATATACAGTAAGGCAAGCAAGTCCTGTGCAAGCACAGGAGCCTGCCAATTAGCAGTTAAGCCACTATAATATCTATAAATTCAGTCTATCACACTCCAATCAAATCTTATCTCAAACCCTTTGAGCCACACATTGGGCACAAGAAAAGACTGTTGTTTTTTGACCCCTGTGGGCAGCACCACACAGCTGCTTGCTCACTCCCCCACAGTGGGATGGGGGGAAGAGAATCAGAAGGGCAAGAGTGAGAAAACTCATAGGTTGAGATAAAGGAAGTTTAACAGGTAAAGCAAAAGCTGCACATGCAAACAAAGCAAAAGGAATTCATTCACTATTTATTGCTCTCTACAGCTACCTGAAAGGAAGTTGTGAGGAGCTGGGGGTCATCTGGGGGTCATCCTCTTCTCACAGATAACTAGTGATAGGACAAGAGGGAATGACCTCAAGTTGCACCGGGGGAGGTTCAGATTGGAAATTAGGAGAAATTTCTTCTCAGAAAGAGTAGTTAGGCATTGGAAGGGGTTGCCCAGGGAGATGGTGGAGTCACTGTCCCTGGGGGTGTTTAAGGAAAGGTTGGATGTGGTACTTAGGGACATGGTTTAGTGGGTAATATTGGCGGTAGGGGGACGGTTGGACCAGATAATCTTGGAGGTCTTTTCCAATCTTAATGATTCTATGATAATACTTAAAGGGGGCTTATAAGACAGATGGAGAGAGAATTTTAGACGGGACTGTGGTGGTAGGATAAGGGGTAATGGTTTTAAACTAAAAAATGGTAGATTTAGATTAGACATTAGGAAGAAATTATTTCCTATCAAGTTGGAGAGACACTGGAACAGGATGCCCATAAAACTTGTGGATGCTCCATCCCTGGAAGTGGTCAAAGTCATTTTGAATGGTGCTTTGAGCAACCTGATATAGTGAAAGATGTCCTTGCCCATGGCAGGGGGGGTGGAACTAGAGATTATTGTCACTGTTATTTAGATCAATTAAATACCACCACCTTTTGTCTATAATTTTGGACCAGGGGATAGACTGCAGGGTTCTGCGTACCATGGCCCCAATATCTTTCACAATAATGACAGACAGGCAGAAAGTCTGATCAAAACACAGTTCTCTCTTACTTTTCAGGGGAGTACTGTCACAGTCTAAAATTTTGCAGTGTCCGTATTGTTTAGATTAATAGCAGGATAATGCAAAGGGTCACGAATGCTGGCAGCTTCAAGACAGAGCTGAGCGTAATCACCAGGTTCAAACAGGTGCTGTAGAGTGATCAAAATTTTGCTCTACACCCCAAACAAATGTTTCACAAGCTTCATGTAGCAATATCTGATCTAAACTAACAAATCCGTATTCTTCTGCATATTGCCTAACTCCAAACCTCTAGATTGGCCATTCCTAATGCCTAACATGCTCCATGGAAGCCATGAGGCAGACTGCTGCTTCTTCTACCACCCGTACTACACTTGAGGGTGGTGGTAAAGCTGGCATTTCAAATGCCTCCTCAGAACTTGGGAGTGCAACAGACAGCCTCCCCAGGGAAACATCCTCATTGTGTTTCACAGCATCTTGTTCTGCAGGGGGCAGTAACTAGGAAGGCCCTTCAAGGGGATCATCATCAAACTTCATGGTAGATGTATTCACTGGCCCACCACATTCAGAAAAACAATTTGCATTTAAGGGTCCTTGTGGTCCCTGTAACCCCCTGTCAATAAGATGTTTGCAGTGACACAAAAATTGCTTAGTTTTTCTAATTAGCAATCTTCATTCTACCTGTTGTTTTTTTTTTTTTTTTTCATTTTTTTTTTCTCTGCTTTGCTTGCTTGTAAGCTAAGGCATCAGAACTAACAGCCCCAGCAGCACTTTTATCACCACCATCCTGACTGCTACTCTTCTGTGCTTGAAAATCATGATGGTCTTCGAGAGCTAAAAACATTTGCTTACTGTTACATTCCCCTCCGCCCCACCAACTAGTTTATCTGTACTAAGTAATGGCCTTGTTTGTAACTGGGTGTTTTGCTTCAATGTCCTGTGAACAATAGCCACAGCCTTATGAGCACAACTAGCACTTGTATGACCACCCCCCTGATTTGCAATAGCCTCTGTCACAGTACCACTGTCAGCCCTTTTATCAACAGCATCCTGCTGGCTACTCCTCTCTACTAGATAATAGTCATGGTCTTTCAGCTCTGCAATACCCCCATTGCTCTTACTGATCCGCTTGCTCTTTCTGTAGTAGCTGTGGTCTCTAAGAGCATGGGGCTGTGGTCTGTTTCCCAAAGCCTGGGTCTTGCTGCTTTTGCAGGAGTCAGGATAGTTTAACAGGACAGTCGTGACTGCGTGCTTGGTCTTCTGCCTCTTATTTGCAGCATCGATCTAAGGACAAGGAAATACATATAGTACCAGCCTGCACCTCATAATGGTTTTACAGGTAAGCCTCCCCCCCCCCCCGCCCCCAGTATTGGGAAAAGGAGTTCCCCCACCAGTACTCACCCTCTCTGGGGCACACTTACCTTGAAATCTAGTTGGCAGTTCACAGGCCCGTTGGCCAATTCTTCCTGTTTGTTTGGTCTTTTTTGGGATCTCCTTTGGGCCTTTTCTTTATTGTCCCCATGCACGTGTTCTTCTGAAGCTGTCATTTTATTCTGGTTTTCCATTTTTACAGACAGTGTTGCCTGTCTTGCATGCAAAGCCCAAAGTCTGCCCCAGTAATCTTGCATGGTCATCCTGTTGGGTCGGACCCAGATGTGGGGGCCTCTCAGCCCAGCTCACAGGACCAGTTTCTTCTTTGCATGTGACAGGATTTGTGCTAGGGACCCCTTGGTGGGTCTTGTAGGTGGGATTCATAGTCCTTGGGCATGTTCTGACTTGTCTATGCCTCCTCACCCTTTTGGTGTTCCCCCGTCCCTCCCCCCAACGTGTCAGGGCTTGTTCTGCAGCCTGTTAAAGTGGAGGACCCCAAACATGTTTTGCTTTTGTTTAACTATTTTCTATTCACACTTCAACTTTAATTATTCATTCAATTGTCTTATTAAAGTATATTTTTGTAATTATAAGTGGAATGTGAAAAAGTTTACTATTTGAAGTAAAATTGTCTAAGTGCTTCACAAAATTGAGATGAGGAAGAAAGGGAGGAGAACAAACACAGAAATTCTGATCAATCAGTGTTAATAAAGACAATGACCAGAAACAAGCATGGTCAGCTGCAGTAGCTGATAAGTAACTGATAAGTAACTCATGTGAGAATGTTTATTCCAGCGGGACTATTTAATTAAGGACTTCTAAATTGGGATGATAAGGAAAAAGGGAAACAATAAACAAACATACTTAGACATAGATCTGACAAAACAAATGATGACAAATGACGAAGACAGAGTCAAGAAACAAACTTCACCAGTCAATAACTGATTTGCTATCTAGCAATTACAGGTACCATTCCTAGGAAAGCCCAACCAGGACTTTGTATCTGATAAGATTGTAAAATGGGGGGGGGGGACGACTGGACTAGGAAGGGTTGAGGATTTGATACAAACCCTATACAAATCCATGAAGGGATTTGCAGGGCAAGGGGAGCAGGGAGGAACAAAGAGGGAGGTAGATAGAAAAGGAAATAAAGGGGGGCACTTAAGCATAAAACAGGGACAGTCTGTCTGAGCCCTGCACCTCAAGACTGCCATCTGTCCTATCTTTTTATATCTTCTGATTAAATCATTTTCTTAACTATCTCTCTGTGTTATCTGTAGGTTTGTGCCTGGTGTACCTGGCCAATAAGCACACAGTCAGAATCTACATGAGTGTAATTAATTAATTCTGCAGAATCAGGTGCTTGGCAAGCAAACCACTGACTTGAAGTGACTCGCAGAAAACTGACTCCACAATCAGTAAGATTGTAAAGTACGTATGTTTATTCAGCGCTGGGTGGCATGGGGGGTAATCCCACCAAAGTCGTGCGCACCTAACGCGGCAACTTGCTTTGGTTATATGCAGTAAAGAGTTACATATGCATGAAGTTTCCCAATACGTCTATACATATGCATAACCTGTCCCTGCTTAGTATTAAAATTAGCTCCAAGAAATCATTTCCATAAATTCCTCTTGTCTGCGCTTGCGCGGTGCCTTATGGTGGTGGGCGCTGAGGGTTGTGGGGATGAAGTAAGATGTCTTCATCAGGGCTGAACTTTTCACCTCATTTCTTTGTGCATGCTCTCTGAGCCCTTGGTCACAATCTGGGCCATAAGGTTGTTTTGATCTGGTTCTTGGGGTCCTAGAGGCTCCTGTTATTTCGAGACCTTGCATGTTTGACATTCTTTATCTTGTCCCTTTGTGAACAGTCCTCCTTATCTCTGAGCCCTTGGTCACAGTCCGAACCATGAGGTTGTTTTGATCTGGTTCTCAGGGTCCGAGAGGGGCTCCTGTTATCTGGAGGTCTAAGCGCAGCACAGGCACAGTACATCGCAAATGTAGCACATATTCATTCTTAATCAATCGCTCTCTAATTTCTAATCCCATGTATCAGAAGCACCATTATTTATACACAGATAACTTATGAAACTCTCTCTCTAGCTACTTCTGATTGGTTGTTTTAGCTCATCTAGCTTATCTGCTATTGAACATGCATGTTAAAGAGGAAGGGGGGGAGGATCAAATCTCACATTTATATACATTTCCATTTCGATGGGTGTGTTTTTAATATGCTAATGACCTTTAATGAGCAAAAGGTTACTATGGGTCAGTCTGGAATCTTCCTGCACCTGTTTTTCTCCTTGCTTTTTACCTTTCATCCCTTATCTCCCTTGCTTCTACTAGCTGAAGGCTACCAGTCTCCCTGATTTCTTTAAGGTTTCCTTATTTTCTCAGCTAAAGACTACACAAGGCAACAAGCCTCCCTATTTTCTTCAAGGTTTCCTTTTTTTCCCCAGCTGAAGACTACATTCTCACAGAGGCACAAACAGCATCTCTTATTGGCTTGGCTTTGGGCAGTGACGGGTCCCTTTGGAGCCATCTGAAACTGGCCCTTATCTAACATGGGGTAGCTGCTGGATTCTTCTCACAGAAGCCACCCCTGAAGCCCCCCTGCTACCAAAACCTTGCCACGTAAACCCACTACAGTGGCATCCACAACCTCTCTGGGCAACCTGTTCCAGTGCCTCACCACGCTCTGAGTGAAGAATTTCCTCCTAACCTCTAATCAAAATCTCCCCTCTTTTAGTTTAAAACCATTCCCCCTTGTCCTGTCATCATCTGATTGAGCAAAGAGTCGCTCTCCATCTTTTTTATAAGTCCCCTTTAAGTACTGAAAGGTCATGATTAGATCACCCTGGAGCCTTCCCTTCTTTAGGCTAAACATCCCCAGCTCTCTTAGCCTTTCTTTGTAGGAGAAGTGCTCCAGCCCTCTGATCATCTTCATGGACCTCCTCTGGAGCTGTTCTAATAGATCAACATCCTTCTTGTTCTGGGGGCCCCAGACCTGGACTCAATAGTCCAAGTAGGGCCTCACAAGGTCACCTGAAATTTCCCAACTTTAACTTGCTAGTTTAAGTTCTGTAAGTAACAGAGTTTGAAGCGTTAGTGTAAAGAAAGCATGCATAACCATCACTTGCATAATTCTGACTCATTATTTAAAATATTTAGCAATGACTTGGAAATTCCTATATGGTACACTTCTGTTGCTGTTACCTCCTCTGCCACCTGTGAACCCAGGGTCACAAAGGGTAGAAATTTTAACACAAAGCCTTAGTCTGTGATGACTGATCATTAAAAGCAAGAGTAGTTTTGCTATTCTTTTAGTGGAACAGAATTTCTTTACCTCAGAGGTATTCTATTCACTTCCTCTCTTTATCCCTGTCTCTCATTTTCATAAAAAAATACTTCCAAGGGAACAAAGAAAGCTAATAACATACTACACTCACATTCCAGATGACAATTTTCAGTAATCTTGTTATGACATCATAGGAATAACTTAAATGTGGTGGGACAATTCACAACTGGAAGATCGCAATGGAAGGTTACAAGCTATATTGAAAAGATAGATGGGAAAGGAGGAGGGTTCATGCTCTATGTAAAGAAGAGGAGGAGGGTTCATGCTCTATGTAAAGGAGAACCTTGAATGTATCGAAGTTAACTACAGTGACTGTGAAAACCCTATTGAATCAATATCTGGATCAAGATTAAAGGGGTCATCTCCAAGGCGGATCTTACATTAGGCATCTGTTACTGACCTCCTAATCAAGACAATAAGGCCAACAAAGCCTTATTTAGGTTACTTAAGCAAGCTTCAGACCAACAGAATCTGGTTCTTATTGGTGACTACAACTTCCTGGACATTTGTTGGAAGAAGAATACAGCAGTGCACAAGTGCAGTTCTATAATGCATAAAAGACTGCTTCCTGGCATAAATGTTAGATGTGCCCACTAGGAATGAGGCACTGCTGGACTTACTATTCACTAAGAAATCTTGCATGATAATATAACTGTTAATGATAGCCTTGGTTACAGTGACTACAATATTGTGGAATTTAAGATTCCGCTGAGCCTGCTGACGTTTGGTAGTAAGACAAAGATTTTAGATTTTTAGCTCATCAAACTTCAACATGCTCAGAGCTGATTTAAGAGGGATTCAATGGGACGCATCCATGGAGGATAAAGGAGCTTGTGAGTGTTGAGAGTTTTTCAAGAATACACTCCTGGAAGCACAAGAACAGTCCATCAATTTTAAAGGAAAGGGAAGTGGGCAAAGCAAGAGGCCACCTTGGCCAAACTGCAACCTTCTGGGGCTGCTCAAAAGTGAAAAAGAAGCATATCAGAGATGGAAAAGTGGACAAATGCCCATTGAGAACTATAAGAACATTGCTAAGGCATGCACAGATGTTGAGGGATTTCTTGAAACAGCAAAAATCCCATGGCTTGCTGTAGCTGAGCAAACCAAGCTACCAGGGCAACTATGAGAAGTTCCCATGACAGTGTTCCCACATCGCCCAATTGAGGAACTCAGAAAAATATTGTTACCAGTAGCTGGCTTCAAGGACAAGGTCTATGTGACTGCTAATCACAAGGGGGTTGTTTTCTTGCAGGTGGGGTTGTTTTCTTGCAGTTGTTTGTCTGAGTGCTTTTGACCAATAATCTTGTGTGAAACACTGTCCACCCCTGTTAAGTTCTCTATAAAAGTTAGGCTATTCGGGCAATAAAATGGAGCATGATCTGACTCTACTGTGTATCTGTCGTGCTTTCGACCGTGCTTCCTGCAACATATGGCGCCCGAACAGGCTGAGACCTGAACAGGACCCGAACAGGACATCACAGCTTCGCCGGGACAAACATCGCAGCGCAGCGGGACACCAGCAGCACCGGCACATCGGAACGCAGGGGGACCAGGAAACCAGCGGCACCGGGACCGGCGGCGCCGGGACCAGCGGCGCCGCGATCTCGCCGCGCCGTCGGGACTTCGGAGCGCCCATCCGACCGGCGCTTGAGCAGACCGGACACCGGCCCGGAAACACGGTACACAGGCCTCACGGTGAGACGCGGTACTCCCGCTGAGAGACGCGGAAAACGGTGGGAAACGGGGTTTTGCGGCGGGACGTGGAATTGCGGAGGGTCGCGGGAAATAGAGTTGCGGCGGGACGTGGAATTGCGGAGGGCCGCGGGAAATAGAGTTGCGGCGGGACGTGGAATTGCGGAGGGCCGCGGGAAACGGAGTTGCGGCGGGACGTGGAATTGCGGAGGGCCGCGGGAAATTGACGTGATCACGGTGTGATGCGGGACATCCGAGATCGAGCTGCTACGGGAGACCAGAGGCATCAGTGGACAACGGCAGCCGACCCTCACCGTGTGGCGAGTCGGCACAGAGCAGAGGGGCGGACATCAGGACCCTGCAGCCTGTCTGACGTAACCATGGAGGCAGCGGCGGCTGTGCTGCTTCTCTTTGGCATTCTTTTTATAAGAGGTTTATCTTGCAATG